CCAAAAGAGCCAATGCATTATACTCAGCTTTAGATGATGATCTGGACATTGTGGTTTGTTTCTTTGTCTTCCAGGGAAGCAATGAACTTCCAAGAAAAGTGCAGTAATTTGTGGTTGATCTCCTGGGTCAGGACAACTAGCCCAGTCTAAGTCACAAAACCCTACTAGCTTCAAATCTGCCTTGTTGTTGTAATGAATGCCTTAGTTTGGAGATGATTTAAGATATCTCAGCACCCTATAGGCTGCTTGCAAGTGATCTAAGCAAGGCTTCTTTTGAAATTGACATAGCTGTTGAATTGAATATATCAAGTCAGGCCTGGTTATTGTTATGTAGTGGAGTCTTCCAACTAGTCTTATGTACTACTCTGGGTCTTCCAGTAGGGTTCCTTGTGTTGTTTTCAGTTTAACCTTCGAGTCTGAAGGTGATTGACATCCCTTAACACTTAGGTATCCAGTATTAGTAAGCAAGTCAATGCAATATTTCCTTTGACACACGGTCAAACCTTCTGCAGTCCTATTAACTTCTAGTCCTAGAAAATATTTCAAGGGTCCCAGAAGCTTAATTTTGAACTATCTCCTCAAGGCCTTCTTCACTTGATCTATGTCATTCTGAGCATCTCGAGCTAGGATTATTGTTAGAGATAGTTTAGGAATAATCTTATATTTCCTTGTCCTTATAGTATAGTTCTTAATATTACCGTGACCTTCTAGTATTGTGGTTCTTTTACTTATTGTCCAAGTCTTGTGATCTATATAAACCCCTTTGTGGTTTCATAATAATACAAGTTACTATTTCTAAAACTCTTATATTGTATTAGAGCCTCTAGCTTAACAGCCTTGATCCAGGAACCCTAAAATCTTTTTTTCCCATTCACCACCGAGATGAGTCCTCACTCACCCGGTTAATTCCCTCCTCCCTCCCGCAGTCTTGTTCTTTATCTTGCTTTTTCTTTCACGTAGCTATAATCCTAATGAGTTTGGTTTTCCTTTCTAAAAAAAAAAACTTATGCTAATTGTTTCTTGTCCTGCACCCCTAGCCATTATCCCTAATTGCTTGCTTCCCAGCTCCACGTCCCAAGCAGTAACAATTCTAGCTTCCAATTGCCACTCTCCCAAAAGCATTCGTTCATTCACTATCATCATCATTATTTTTTGTTGCAGATTCTGATAGTTGTTTTGTGCTCTGTCGATTGACCACTGTCGCATTGTCATTGGAGAGGAAGATCTAGTTTTTATAGCCGATGTTATCGCTCTTATCTTATTTTCAGATTGTTGCAGAATTATATGGCGGAGCCACGGTCATCCTCCAACCATCTCTTCTTCACGTGTATGGAACGAAGAAAGCTTCTCCGACAACGGTCATTCGAATGAATGCGTCGTATCCTACACCAGTTTACGTTTATTGGTATCCTAAAAACCAATTCATTCATCTCGTTCTGGTCAACTTTTGACGGCGAGTGAGTTTCGTTGCAAAATATGAATTGCAAGTTTGATGATTTCTTTTTCTCCAAGACGATGATTAGTTGGCTTCGCTCTTCAAGCACAAGAGTTCGATGAGTTTGCATGACATTCTACACCATCAAATTGCGGGAGTGTGTTCTTCAAGATTAGCGTATGTTGGTCAAGATTGATGTTGTTCTTCGCACCATCATCTTGCGGGGGCGTGTTAGAGATAGATTAGGAATAATCTTATATTTCCTTGTCCTTATAGTATAGTTCTTAATATTACCGTGTCCTTCTAGTATTGTGGTTCTCTTACTTATTGTCCAAGTCTTGTGATCTATATAAACCCCTTTGTGGTTTCATAATAATATAAGTTACTATTCCTAAAACTCCTATAATTATATCATCAACAAAAACTAGTAAAATCACAATCCTCCCATGAACCCATTTAGTGAACATAGATTAATCAGAAGATGAGTGATAGAATCCACTCTTTAAGAGAAAACCAGTTAACTTGGCAAACCACTGCCTTGATGCCTTCTTAAGACAATACAAGAATTTCTTTAGCTTGCAGGCCATTCTCTTAGAGCTTCCAGGTGGTAACTCAATCTCATGTGGTACCTGCATATAAACATCCTCACATAGATCTCCATTCAGGAAAGCAGTGGATACATCCAACTTCTCAAGTATCCAATTATTCAGTACTGTTATGGCTAATAGGGCTTTGAGTGAATTTATCTTAGCCACTAGAGAGAAAGTGTCCAGAAAATCCATCTCATATATCTGTGTGGATCCCTTAGCCACTAGTTCTAGCTTTGTACCTTTCAATTGATCCATCTTGCTTTAGTTTGAGTTTGAAAACTCATTTGCAACCCACTATATGTTTATCTGGTGGTGCTTCCACAATTTCAAAGGTCTGGTTGGCTTCTAGTGCATGTATTTCTTCAATCACAACTCTATTCCATTCAATAGACTTGACCGCTTCATGGTATGATCTATGCTCTTCATGCTTTAGGAAACTTAAGGCATGTATTCTATCTTGCTCATTCAGACAATCCACATTCAAACATATAGGATGTTGACTGGTAGCTGCAGCTATACCAAAAGCACCAAAAGGCAATTGAGGATCCACTTCACAGTCATTAAGTCTTGCTGGTAGAACCGGTTGCCTCAATGATCAAGATGGTAAAGGATCAAATTTAGCTTATGGCATTAACTCATAGTCATATTCAAGTTAGTATGCCTCGTAAGGAAGATCAAAAGTAAATTCATCTTCCTCTTCCTGGATAGCATCTTCACTGGAGCAAGGTTCTCCCCTTACAACTAATTCCTGGTCAAATGTAGCAGGTGCTGATTGATGAAGAGGTGAAGATGTGGGAACCAAGATAGGGGGTGCTAAGAGAGGAATGTATTTAGGAAGAGAAAAAGGGGCTGGAGTAGTATGTTTTGATGTGTCATGACAATCTTTGAAAATGTAAGATTGTCTCATAAAAGACAACATATCGAGATATGAACACCTTTCTATCATCAAGGTCAAGTAATTTGTAGCCTGTAACCCCTGTAGGTATCCCAAGAAAAACACACTGCCTTGCTCTAAGTGCAACTTTGTCATGTTATGCCCAAGAGTACTGGCATAACAAAGGCTGCCAAAGACCTTCAAGTTACCAAGGAAGGGTTGATGGTTGTAAAGCACCTCAAATGGAGACTTCCCATGTAAGATAGGGGTAGGCATACGATTGATTAAGTGAACTGAATGTAGAATACAGTCAGTCCAAAAAGATATGGGTAAACCAGATTGGAATATAAGGGATCTAGCCAGATTCAGGATGTGTTGATGCTTTCTTTTAACCCTAGCATTTTATTTAGGAGTCTCAACATAAGACATCTGATGTTCTATTCCTTTTTCCATGAAGTAGTCTTTCATATGAAATTCCTGTCCTTGGTCTCTTTTGATTACTTAAATAGTTGTATTAAACTAATTTTGAACTAAAGCGCAGAATCCTTTCAACAAATCTCTAGTCTCGTGCTTATGAATAACCATCATAAGACTCAACAGATAAAGGACCACATATATCCACATGAACCAAATCAAAGGAACAATCTGCAATGCTAGTACTAACAGGGAAATGAAGTCTTTTGTGTTTAGAGAAATGACATACATCATAGTGTAGAATCTTAGAGCTAGTTACAGTGCGATTGGATTTCGGCAACATTGAAATTATATCACCACTAGCATGACCTAATCTCCAATGCCAATTGTCAAACCGGAGAGGGTTGAAATTGAAGATGGTGGATGCCTGAGGTTCAAACTTCTGGTCTTAGGTTGAAAGTGGAAATGTGAGATGGTAAAGGCCTCTATGCTCTCTTGCTAAACCAATCATCTTCAAGCTTAATTGGTCCTAAATATGACATAGATTGGAATGAAAGTGTAAGATAAATGGACAATCATTGGTAAGTTTACTCACTGAGATGAGGTTGAAATAAAATCTAGGTACGAGAAGGACATTATGTAGGATTAAGCCTGTAGGCAATTAACTGTACCAATATGAGTAACCAAGACCCTAGTAGTGTTAGGAAGATTCACATAGATATCCTGTACTGGTTTATGCTTTATGAATGAAGCTATAGAACATGAAATGTGATCTGAAGCGCTTGTATCAAGGATCCAAATACTATAAACATTGGTTTGGTTAATCTGACATGAGGTGGACAAGCTATATTTACCTGAGTAGTTGGGATATGGTGGTGGAATTTGAGATACTAAGTCGGCATTGTGAGTCAAAGATGGTGAGGTTGGAGGTGAAGGAAGACTGTTAGTACTAGAATGCATCATGTCCCTTAACTTGTTCATCTCTTTTGTTGGGAGAAAAGCTTCTCATTAGCAAAGCAGTTTTGATATTTGTGTTGGGTACTTAGCGAGTGACTTAACGAAGCTAAGTGCAGTCCGGATTGTTCTTGAAAAGCTTACAATGGTAGAAACATTATTGCCCAACTAATACAAGAAATACTGCCATTGTAAACTTGCAGTTACCCTACTGCTCTTCTTGATATGTGAGTACATCCATGAAATTATTATGAAGCCTAACATTTTGGTTGAGAGTGCAGGGAAGCAGAGTTTACATGGTTTTCAGGCTATACGAAACTAGAGTAGATGTTGGCTGAGTGAATAGCCAAGTTATTTCAACTGCAACCGCACAGCCTGGTTACTCAAGGTAGATGGCATCTCAAACGGCTCAAGTATGGAAGCTTCCTTATTCAGTTCATTGTAGAAAGAAGATTCGCAACGATCATGTTCGCTCAAAGAAGGAAATGATTCAAAACCAACGGCAAAGCAAGAAGATTCAAGCAACGGAAGCTTACCTTTTCTGAGGAGATTCACACAATCGGCTCAACATGGCAAGAAGTGTTCAATTGCAACGGACAAGATCGTGATGCTATAAAAGGAGCCTTAGTCTAATTAGAGAGGTGAACTTTTCTGGAAAAATCAAAACAAGAGAGCTAAGGGTTTCAGCTAGTGGTTTTGATAGGAAAAAGGATTTCGATTGACGGGGAGTTGATCGAGGTTACGGTATCGGGGAGATACCGGGTTCTTGATCGACGGGGAGTTGATCAAGGGGATTGGGTTTGATCGATTGGCTGGAGAGCTAATCGGGAGTGTTCATTTGTATTCGAAGAGCTTCAACGAAAACATCTAGTGGATTGTCGGAGATCGCTAACGTCGAGTCTCTGACCGTGGATTAGTCAGCGTTGGGTTTCATTTTCTCTCAACGCTGGATACCACGTAAAAATTGTCCCTGTGTCATTTCTGTTCCGTTGTTAAATTATCGGGTTTGTGCTGCAGAGTGTGTGCTCTGTTTAGTTTCATTTTGCAGGGAGTTTGACAAGAAGAAAGGAAGTCCAAGCGAGATACCGGAGCAAGTTATTTGGATCGATATACAACTCAATTTGATATAATTTGAATCTTAGTATTCTGGGTTTAGACGGCTGTGTTCTTGGCTGTTCTTACTAACTTGCAGAGAAGCGATTTACGATCTGAAATCCTTAAAAGGAGGAACTTGAAGTTGGAACAAGAACGACAACGTTCTACTTACTGTGTGTCTCGATTGATGGTATAAGTGGCCTGGTATCTGTGTCTTGACAGTTTGCTAGGCCTAGTTAATTTAATCTATAAGTTAGACACTAATCTGGGTGGGCTTACGTGTGAGAAATAGAGCCCATTAAGACATATAATATACAAAACCCATAAACATATCTCTGTCTAAGTTGTTGTGCATTTCAGATCAAAACTTGTTTTCCTTTCCTTCAATTTATGTTCGTGTTTTTAGAAAGCTAGGTTTCAGCAGAGCCTGCAATAGCGGCAAGAATCTGTGAAACCGGCGCCGGAGTCTCGCGCTCGACTCAACCAACACGTGGTATCAGAGCCCGGCTCCGACGAATAAGGTTCAACGACCTCCGGAGAATCAGAATGGCGTCGACCTCGGCAAACAGCCGTGACTTCTTTCTTGGTGATGGATTCTCGGTAAATCGGCCTCCGCGATTTGAAGGAGTCAATTACGGATACTGGAAGGACAGGATGGAACTCTTCTTTCTCTCCCATGATCCAGAACTCTGGATGATCGTACAGGAAGGACCCTACGAAGTAAAGACAACTCGATGGGAGTGGTCAGACGACGACAAACATAAAGTTCAGCAAAATTCACGGGCTACCAATATCATGTATTGCGCCTTAGGTCGAGAAGAGTATCATCATATTTGTGGATGCAAGACAGCCAAGGAGATTTGGGATAAGCTCCAAATTACATATGAAGCCATGGAAGATTCGAAGAATTTGGTTGAGATTGAACTCGTCGACTTGAGTGAGTCGGTCATCACTTACAAAGAAGTGTTAAAAAAGGAAGACGAAAATGTTCAAAGTTGCCTTGCGTTGAAGGCAGTTGCACAAGTAGTGAATGAAGATTTTGGGCATATGAAGGATGAAGAATTGGTCATGATTGGTGAACACGTCAACCACCTGCTTAGCCGAAGAAAAGAACAAAGAAGATACTTGGTAAACAGAAGCAAGCAAATAGGATCTGAAGTTCGAGATCAAAGACTTTCAAAGGCAGAAGCGGTCACTTGGAGCTGTAGTGAGACTGAAAGTGAAGAAGAGGATGAAGTTGAACATAAAGCGTACATGGCAATTGCCCTCACCAAAGAGGAACCTGAAAAGAAATTCTCCAAGAAGGTTCATCGAGGTTCAAGAGAGGTAAATGATTCTGAACCCTCTGATTTCAAATACTATAGTGAGGATGAAGAAATGACTAAAACTATAATTGAAATCCAGGAAGAGTTTAAAAGAGTCAAAGCAAAACACTTTAAGCTTAGCAATAACTACAAAGATGAAAAAACTAATCATGAAAGGACTAAGCTAGAACTAGAAGAGTTGAGACTCGAAAATGACAAGCTTAGGAGTAACTATCATAGTGAACTAGATAATCATGAAAATACTAAGCTTGAACTAGAGAAGTTGAGATTCGAACATAGTATGCTTAAGGGAAGAATAGTTGAGTCCGAAATAAGTAAGAATACAGTTAGCATCGACAACAAAGCTAGTAACAATAAGGAATCAGTTATGCTGACGAGTTGTGACTGCCCTAGTAAGATTAATAAGGAGTGCAGTACAAATGACAACGAGAAAATCAGAAAGCTTGAAATTGAGAACAAGGCATTAATTCGACAAGTTGAGAACATGAGAGTAGAAATCAGTAAACGTGTGAATAAACAAAAATATGATAACTATTGGAAAGGAAAGACCATCAATAATGAGTATTCTCGTTTTCAGAACGTAAAAACTTGTTTTACTTGTCACAAACTAGGGCATCTAAGTAGGAATTGCTTTTGGAATAAAAGTAACAGTCTTAATCTCTGGAAAAGAAAGGAACCCAAGTTCATCTGGGTTCGCAAAACAACATGATTGTTAAGTGTGCAGGTTGGTTCCCAAGTGAGCATGGGAACAATCGGATGAACTATCGGAATTGGTGCTCACATCGTATGAAAGGTAATAACAATGATGTTTTTCTCATCTTAAAGAAGGTAATACAGGTAATATTATCCTTTGTGACTGTAAAATCAATTGATAATTACTTTCAGATATGCCTTGTGAAATATGAATGGTTGTGCCCCAAGTTGACATGTCAGTACTTGAGAAAAGTCCATCGAGGAGAATGAGGAAGAATTAATTTATGATGCTTTTCTGAGGAAGATTCAAACCAGAATGATTTTTAAGAGCTAATCAACTCTGTCCAAAATTTAAAACTTCTATATGTTATGGTGACGAGAGGGTCTCAAAATATGTGGTTGATATCAAAATTCAAGTAGAACGGATGGTTATACACGTGATGCATTAGGCATCTGAACCATGCATTATTACGTGTAAATCCAATTGCTTTGCATGGAATTTGAGCTTCTGCAACTTAGGAGTACAGCACCAGAATACTAACTATTTACTGCTGAACTAAGTTAGCCTATTCTTAGAAGTCCTTTGAATGACTAGCTGTGAGAACTAGAGGCTCATGTAAGAGTATGAACTGGTGGTTATATTCCCTTTTCACTGGTCTTGTAAGTTAGAGATCTAGTCATCAGTGTGAGCAACTCTTTGCACAAGGGTTAAAAAGTATAATAGTTTAATCAAAGTTTGACTTGCTAGTTGAACATCCACAGTTTGTCACTATGCGGGTCATGGGCTACTAGTAGAATGAATTTTTGAATTGCTGAAATGTTTCATATTGAGACCGTATTCCTTTTTGGCTAAAAGTAAGTCTCATATTTTTCATTCATGGTGCATTGTCTTGTTCTGTGGATTTCCAGATCCATTGCTACATCCTTATCAATATAATTGATGTTCCACCTGAGATCTCTTATCCTTCACCTGCCTAAAACCTTTTTGGGGAGAAGTTGTCAATGTCAGATGATAGAGCCTTGATCCGACTAGATCAGACGAGTCAGTGGTCTTAGTTCTCTATCAATAATGATCGAGCAGTGAGAAAAATGAAAATAATGATTAATAATCGGCAAACCTCCTCACAGATGTAGTTGTCAAACTTCCATTTCTGTCAAAAGTAACCCAGGTAAAGGTGTCTACCAGCTCAGAGAAAGTTAAAGTGTATAGAGTCATCAACAGCTGCTGAAAGAAGAGAAGGAAAGAATCCAAATGAGAGAAATGAGAACGGTTCTTATCAAGAAAACAGCTCAGAACACAGTCAGAAGAAATCACCATCACCTCTACACATAAGAAAGGGATATCCCTCAAGCTTATCACAGGTAACTCAAGCGAAGGTATGGTTCTAAAGTTTTTATTCTGTCATACTCAACTTCTGGGTGATTATATTTATTAGTATGAGTGATGCATCGCATAATCATCAAAAGAGATCGTCTGTAGAGAGAGTCAGTATGATAAGGTTTTTTGTCAGCTTTGATCATGTGCATACTGGGATGTGTGAGTCATGGTACGTTGATCTATTTTGTGGTAAAAAGTGCATAAGTTCTTAGAATTATAAATTCCTCTTACTCAATACGTGGTCATGGTCAAGACTTCATACATATGTGGGAGTGTACTAAAAGGGAGCAGTTGTTTTTTACTCTACTCTTGCTTAGTATCATCTTTAGACCTTGGTTTGTATATCATGTTATAGTTGAACAGTATCTGTCTGCATTTACTTTTCATAAGAGTATCTGATACTGTATGATGTTTTAACTGTCTAGTGGGTTCCTGACATATGTGCAAAACTTGCTCAGGCAAGCATCTCTCACAACTCTTGTGAAAATGTAGTGCCTAGGATCATGCTAGAAAGGGTGCCTTTTACATTAAAATCCCAGTCTTTCTTGTCATGTGAATGATCATTGATATATACCTATCACAATGTTATGTGGTCATTGCTTTTGCATTCATAGTGTAAATTCGGTAAGTGTAATCCTACCTGGCTTGTCTTGCAAACTTACATTCATGTGTCCTGTGCTGTATCATTTTGAGACTCGCAAATTTATGAACTGGTATCATTCATCTTAAGCCGTCAGAATCATGTTACCACATCTGGTGAGTGTTACTACTTATGCTCCATAATTATACTTGATACAACTTGATCATCGGTTCACCTTTGTGTTATCTTTTGAAGCTACTTGTTTCCTCCTGTATATGTTGGATTAAGGTAGAATGGTTTGGTTAAGGGGGAGAATGGTCTGCATATTCTAAGTAATCCCTTAGGCCTGCTTCATAGGCCTCCTCTTTGCTTGAAAATCAAGGGGGAGAGATATGTTCGTACCGAGTATAATTAGCACTTCTGCTTATGGGTGATTTTCATCAAAGAAGTGTTGCCTTCTCTAGTACCCGATCTCGTCTACAACCTAGGGGGAGCCATCTCAGGGGGAGTAAGCTTAAGCTTCCGAGTCTAGAAGATACGATTACTTCCTTTCATAGTAATAACTTGCTGCATATTTATTACTATGACATGTCTAAGAAAGTCTTATCAGAGTCATGATTGCTAATGAAAATCTTAGGGGGAGATTGTTGGGAGAAAAGCTTCTCATTAGCAAAGCAGTTTTGATATTTGTGTTGGGTACTTAGCGAGTGACTTAACGAAGCTAAGTGCAGTCAGGATTGTTCTTGAAAAGCTTACAATGGTAGAAACATTATTGCCCAACTAATACAAGAAATACTACCATTGTAAACTTGCAGTTACCCTACTGCTCTTCTTGATATGTGAGTACATCCATGAAATTATTATGAAGCCTAACATTTTGGTTGAGAGTGCAGGGAAGCAGAGTTTACATGGTTTTCAGGCTATACGAAACTAGAGTAGATGTTGGCTGAGTGAATAGCCAAGTTATTTCAACTGCAACCGCACAGCCTGGTTACTCAAGGTAGATGGCATCTCAAACGGCTCAAGTATGGAAGCTTCCTTATTCAGTTCATTGTAGAAAGAAGATTCGCAACGATCATATTCGCTCAAAGAAGGAAATGATTCAAAACCAACGGCAAAGCAAGAAGATTCAAGCAACGGAAGCTTACCTTTTCTGAGGAGATTCACACAATCGGCTCAACATGGCAAGAAGTGTTCAATTGCAACGGACAAGATCGTGATGCTATAAAAGGAGCCTTAGTCTAATTAGAGAGGTGAACTTTTCTGGAAAAATCAAAACAAGAGAGCTAAGGGTTTCAGCTAGTGGTTTTGATAGGAAAAAGGATTTCGATTGACGGGGAGTTGATCGAGGTTACGGTATCGGGGAGATACCGGGTTCTTGATCGACGGGGAGTTGATCAAGGGGATTGGGTTTGATCGATTGGCTGGAGAGCTAATCGGGAGTGTTCATTTGTATTCGAAGAGCTTCAACGAAAACATCTAGTGGATTGTCGGAGATCGCTAACGTCGAGTCTCTGACCGTGGATTAGTCAGCGTTGGGTTTCATTTTCTCTCAACGCTGGATACCACGTAAAAATTGTCCCTGTGTCATTTCTGTTCCGTTGTTAAATTATCGGGTTTGTGCTGCAGAGTGTGTGCTCTGTTTAGTTTCATTTTGCAGGGAGTTTGACAAGAAGAAAGGAAGTCCAAGCGAGATACCGGAGCAAGTTATTTGGATCGATATACAACTCAATTTAATATAATTTGAATCTTAGTATTCTGGGTTTAGACGGCTGTGTTCTTGGCTGTTCTTACTAACTTGCAGAGAAGCGATTTACGATCTGAAATCCTTAAAAGGAGGAACTTGAAGTTGGAACAAGAACGACAACGTTCTACTTACTGTGTGTCTCGATTGATGGTATAAGTGGCCTGGTATCTGTGTCTTGACAGTTTGCTAGGCCTAGTTAATTTAATCTATAAGTTAGACACTAATCTGGGTGGGCTTACGTGTGAGAAATAGAGCCCATTAAGACATATAATATACAAAACCCATAAACATAACTCTGTCTAAGTTGTTGTGCATTTCAGATCAAAACTTGTTTTCCTTTCCTTCAATTTATGTTCGTGTTTTTAGAAAGCTAGGTTTCAGCAGAGCCTGCAATAGCGACAAGAATCAGTGAAACCGGCGCCGGAGTCTCGCGCTCGACTCAACCAACATCTTTTGGTGTGAAGCCAACCACTGTCTTAGAAGAACTCATTGGAATACCACCTGGTGTGTCCTTTGAGCTAGAATAACTTACTTCAGTAGTAGAATCATTGGAGCTTGCTTGTGACACTGATCCTGCAAAACCAGACACATTGCCTTGTGATCCTCCTATTCCACCTCCACTCTGCATTTCTCTTTTATTCTTATCTCTCCAGCATTGCTCAACATTATGGTTTGTCCTCTTACAGAATATACAAAACTTCTTCCCTTGTCCTCTTGGCTTTTCATCTTGCTCAGTCTCAATAGCTAATGCCACACTTTGAGCCCTTCATCCACCAACTCAGCCTTCAACTTCTGCTCGCATTGAAGTAGATCATCCACTACCTCAGATACGGTAGATAATGTAGGGATGGAAAAAATATCTGTAACCGTGGATATTCGCCCGAATCCGACCTTGTTGGGTAGGGTAAAACCTGAACCCGAAAGACTTTTGGCAACCCGAATATTGCGGGTAATGGGTGGGCATGGTTTTCTCACTATCCAACCCGACCCCGCCCGATATACACATGCATATGCATTTTTTCTAGAAAAATCATCATTTTTCTCTAACATATTTTATATTTAGCATATAAATATAATTTTTTCATGAAATTGTGTTGTTTTAATGAATTTTTTGCATTCTAGTGAATTTTTGTCATAATTTTTGTCTTACGTAATGAGAGAATACATGTAAATATTAACATATTGGTTGGAGTTATAAGGAGAAACTATTACCCATGGATAACCGTGGACACCCGAAACCCGAACGGGTATGAGCATGGTTTTGATTATCTACCCGTTTTTTATGTGGGTATGGGTATAGGTAAAACCCGAACTTCTTTGGGTAGGGTAACGGATATGCACTATCCATCCCCGACCTGACCCTTTGCCATCCCTAAGACAATGGTTCTGAGAAAGTAACTGACTCTTGATGATTTCATAATCTGGATGTAAGCCCCTGAGAAACCTGATAATATAATCAGTCTCATGCTTTTCTGTATAGGCTACAACAGCATCACATGGATTCACATTTCCTGGTGCACAGTTCATGGAACTATGGGACTAAATTGTGAAATCTCTTCCCAAATTTCCTTGATCTCATTGTTATACTGGTTTATAGTGCGATTGCCTTGCTTACACTTGTGGATGTCATCTGTCAGATTCGTGATTCGTATAGCATTGGGTTTTCCATACCTTCTTTTTTAGCTTATCCCATAATACTTTGACAGTTGACACTAACATGATTCATCACAGAATGTCTCAGAACCTTGTGCAGAGAATTTAAAATCCATGAACACAACTGTGTTGCATCCACCCCACAACAGAAATCTATCATCATTCATTAGGGCATTTGAATGCTTCCATCGATAAAACCCCGTTTATGTTTCGTTTTAAGACCCATGATGACTGTTCTACGCCACATGATGTAATTTGTGCCATCAAACACTTCTGTTCCTATGGATTGATTCAGCTCCTCATTAGAGTTCAAGTAGAAAGGATTACTGAAGTTTATCACCTCAGATCTGGTGGTCTTCTGCTCCTGCTGCTCATTTTGTTGCTGCTCAGTGTAAGTACCGAACTGTAAATCTTGAATAGTCGATCCAGTTGCAGCTTCTTTCCCATGACTTGAAAACTACGGTGTGGTTGCTATTGTAACCCTAGATGCGTTCCTAGATGCGTTTCCGCTCTGATACCATATGGAGAATTTACTATGCTTAGTGGCAAAACCATCAAAGAAGCAGGGTCTGCTCTGTTGCAGTATATATATTAGCCGTTAAGTTTAATTTGTTCGCAGCAGCTGTGTGTCTGCTTTTTACTGGCCCTATTATAAACAAAACAGTAATTAATAACTGCTATTAAGCCTAACACACAAACGGCGTAGTTTCTTCTAGGCTTCCTTAGCTTGATGGTAACGACTTTGTTTTGCCTTCTTCTCCAACATCATTTTACTTCTTCCTTCAACTGCAATCCTTCTGGGATCAGGACTCCAAAATCAGTTGACAAGTTACGTGTCATTTGATTTCCCATTCTTCAATCTTCCAGTAAAATTTACAATAATATGACCATAAGAACTTTCATTTCACTTTCCTAATTTCATCAATACATGTACCACATTTTAAACCGATTTTTTTGAAAGAATTTAAAAATTTGGTATATTTCTCATACTTGTTCTGTTAGTTTATGATCTATAGTGTTTGTTCAATGTTCTAGTGTCATGTGCATTTATTTAATAATAATTATTGTTTAATTATGGGTTGTTAGGGAGGGGATTGTGACGTGAGTTAGTGGGCAATTAGTGGAGTTATTGGTTAACTAGATTTTAGGTGTCGTTACTAGTTTGTAGGACTATTAGTTTACTCTTCTCAATTTAAAGTGTCATATGGTTATAGGAAAGGATAATTAATAAAAGTATAATCAGAAAAGGGCTTTGTACAACTACATGTTAATTTGGGAAGTTGGCTTTTCTCGAAAAAGTTTATGGGTTCCGTTCTCACCATTAAGGAAAACATTTCTCTTCCTTCAATCTATATTTTCATCATTCTTCTTCTTCCTATTTTGATCTTTCTTCCTAAATCTTACTCGTGCAAAAGTGCACGTAACATTTGGTATCAGAGCCGGCTAATTCTACGACAATGGTTGTCCGAGGAAAACCGCTTGATTTTGTATTAGAGGCGATGGTGCAAGAGACCGCTATGTTGAGGTAGGAGATGCGAGAGAATTTTACGGCCCTCATCAAGAGGTTCTATCAATTTCTCGCACGACGACAAGGCTATGGCGAACCCCATATGGAGATTGGTGAATCTACCGCAAACGGGAACAAGCTCGAAGAAGGGCGAGTAGCTACCAGAGAGCTCAAGTTCATCATGGAAGGATCGAAGGTCGAGTGTCCTAGTTTCAGATCTTCACTTGGCCCTCCCGCGCGGTTGATAGAGCAATCTGTCCCACCAGATGTGACAATCGTCGTGCCATCGGCGAGTGTGCCGCACCCATCAACCGCCACCACTGTCATTATCCAAGTTGAGGAGCTTCACGAAGCCATCTTGCGCAGGTCATTGTCACGACCTCAAAAAGCATCGCCGCGATGAAGAACCTTGTAGAGGAATGGTAAAACAAAAATCCAGCTCCGCCTATTGCCGAACTGACCACTGTGTCTTTTCTACCACTAAAACTCATCCAGCCACTGTGGCTTCTAGTGGTCTCGACATGAAGGGGCAAAACTCCAAGTTTCAAGGCAAGTGATAGGGCTTGCATCGCTTATGGGTGAATATGGGTAGATTGAAAAAGTGGGTTGTGGTTAGGATACTGGTTGGCTGCCATCTCCTCCAATCAATTGGAAGTATAGAAAGAAAAGTTTGGCAGAAGGTCCCAATGGTGGTGGCTCATGCTCTTTGGAGATCCGGGTTAAAGAAGGCATTCCATGTTGGTCGCTGATTCTTCTGGTCAAGAATCGTTTCAAGGGGGGTGGAATGTCATGTGCATTTAGTAAATGGTTAATACAATATAATAGCCAAACCTTTCATTTTAAACAAAATAATAGCCAAACCTTTTTGAAAACAATTTAATAGTCAAACTGTTAACTTTCCGTCCGGTCAATTGTTAATTGACTACTATGACGTGGCCAATATAAGCTGACATGGCTGAAAGTCAATAATTTGACTATGACACACACACACACACACACACACACACATATATATATATGGTAATGACTGGTGTACGTCAGGCGTATAGTATACATCACGTGATCTAACCGTTAGATGTACTTAGAAAACCCTACTTTCTTGTCCCTTCCCCTCCCTCTTCTCCATCTAACAATTTTCAGAACTCTCCACCAACCAACCGATATCCATCTTCTTCAACTTTTTCATTCTCCAAAGAATTTCAGAAACCCCCACCAACGGACTTCCATCTCTACGAGTTCCCCACAGGCTTCCATTTCTACAATTTTCCTCTCCTAGCATTTTACCTTTCACTCCAGCAGTTCACGCAAGACTTCCTCATAGGCTTCCACCAGTACCGCCACTGCCATCCCAAAGGTCGCCACCCCTTGTCGCCAGACGGCCGTGGCCTCCTCTCTACGAGCGGCGTCTCTTCCGCGGACTCTGTCGTGCCGCCGCTGCTAGTCTTCGCCCTCTCTCAACTCTGACTGACACCTCCTCCTCTTCTCCTTCTGTTTTCTTTGGTTTTGGGTGAGTTTTCCGGCGATTTGAAGGGAATAAATCGGGGTCATGTCTTCCGCATACCCCAAAACTGACAATCGTTAAATCTCGTTATCGTTCACGTTCTCTTGTTGACAATCGCCGAATCTCATTCTCGATCGATTCAATCTCCAGATCTATTTTCTTTTCATCCCTCCTCCGGAATCGAAATCTAGGTTGAAGTCAAATGACGATATCGGCGACTTTTGGTGTGATTAGCGATTTCTGGACTGGGTGACTACGACGATAGTCGATGACGAGGAGAGGATGATTAACGGCGAAATTGGGTTCCTTTTTTTCCTCGCCGCCTGTTCGCCTTAGTATTACCCAGAACCTATATACCCATTTAATTGGAGGAGGGCAGAACCCAGACCTTCCCCGACTCTCGTGCTTGTATGAGTTTCCAGAAAATCGACCCAATCGATGCCGGAAGAAGAATCGTCGTGGAGTGGATAAGTTTGAGGAAGAGCAAAAAGAAAAGATAGAAGTTTGAAAATAAGATTTTTTTTTCTTTTATCGTTTTAATTTAAAATACAGTCAAACAATGATTTTTTTTGTCACATCATCAAAATTTGTCCAACTCGGCAATTAAATTGCCACGTCAGAGTCAACTGACGGTCAAGCGGATGGAAAGTTAACGGTTTGACTATTATATTGTTTTTAAAAGGATTTGGCTATTATTTTGTTCAGAATGAAAGGTTTGGCTATTATATTGTATCTACCCTTTAGTAAATAATAATTATTGTTTAATTATGAGTTGTTAGGTGATGGGATTGTGACGTGAGTTACTAGGTAATTAGTGGGGTTATTGGTTAACTAGATTTTAGGTGTCGTCACTAGTTTGTAGGATTATTAGATTACTCTTCTCTATGTAAAGTGTTAGATGGTTATAGAAAAGGATAATGAATAAAAGTATAATCAGAAAAGGGGTTTACACACCTACGTGTAATTTGTGAGGTTGCCTTTCCTCGTAAAAGTTTAGGGGTTCCGTTCTCGTCATTAAGGAGAACACTTATCTTCCCTCAATCTATCTTTTCATCATTCTTCTTCTTCCTATTCTGATTTTTCTTCCTAAATCTTATTCGTGCAAAAGTGCACATAACATCCGTAACATCTAGCACTGAAAGTATAAGTATCATCAACTTAATTACATTACCCTCAAGTTGAATTTGGTTAGGATTTGTGAATAACATCCACGTGTATCCAAAAACCGTAAGGCAAAGGTTTAAGACAAAAAAAAAAAAAACTTCCACAGAGGAAATGAGAGAATATGGTTTTTATCAATTAAAATTCAGATTTAATTCACTTGCATAGCCATAACTTTCACAAAAATGACAATTATAGTCATTTTTTGAAAAATACACAGATATAGCCAATTCCGTCCAATTATTTGACGGTTCACTTAACCCGCTGACTGGACTAACGACATCAGTTAGTGTGCCATATTTTATTTAACGTCATTGCCAGGTGGAAAACATCCATATATTTTTATTTAATTAATAAATGAAATTAAAAACATTACGAAAGGCCACTTTACATTTTTTGCCCACCTCATATTCTCTCCTTCTTCCATCGAACCCTCCACCATCAGTCGACCACTCATCCATCTTCTTCTTCTTCTTCTTCTGCTTCTCCGCCATTAAAATGGCACTCGACCACTGCAGGTGCAAAAGCCCTATTTCCGAGGCTAGTCGCCTCCTTTCTCCATCGACCAACTCCTCTTTCTCTCTCCAAATGGATAGCAAGAATAAAAAAATTCAGATTCCAAAATCCCTAACCCCGTATCCCAAATTCAATCAACGCTGCTTGCTTACCCCCGCTCACTCTTTCGACGAGGAGTTTCAACTTCTTCCCCTCGACCTCCACTACCTTCGAGGCTCCATGGTAGCGATCCTTTCCACCCTCCAGCACTCCTCCTGCCCGGAAAACATCTGCTTCCACTTTATCTCCTCCTTGCCTTCCCTCCACAAAACCATCCTCCGCTCCTTTCCTTACCTCCGCTGCCAACTCCACATCTTCACTCCTTCCCCAGTCCAGGGCCTAATCTCCACCTCAATCCGACAAGCACTTGATTCCCCTCTCAACTACGCCTGCAATGACCTCCTGGCGCTGCTCCCCACCTGCTTGAAAAAAGTCCTCTACCTCGACTCCGACCTCATCCTTGTCGACGACCTCGCCGACCTTGCCGCCACCCCTCTCCTCGGGAAACCCCTCGCCGCGCCGGAGTACTGCAACGCCAATTTCACCATTTACTTCACCCCGACCTTCTGATCCAACCCGTCCCTGTTGCGGGGAGGAACGTCTGCTACTTCAACACAGGTGTGATGGTGATTGATCTGGTGCGGTGGAGGGTTAGTGGGTACACGAGGAGGATCGTGGAGTGGATGGAGCTCCAGAAGAGGATGAGGATCTACAAGCTGGGTTCCTTGCCCCCTTTCTTGCTCGTTTTTGCAGGGGAGGTTGCGTCGGTGGATCACCGGTGGAACCAACACGAACTAGGAGGGAACTGTGAGCTTGTTGCAAGGTTTTGCATCCGGGTCCGGTGAGCTTGTTGCTTTGGAGCGGGAAGGGGAAGTCGTGGGCGAGGATCGATTCGGGCCAGTCGTGGTTGTTGTAGAAGAAGCACTAGATCTGGAAAAGGAAAGCCACAACTGAACGCTGGCACAGTGGCGAACGGGTTATGAATGGGCCGATTCAGATCCTGTCCTGATTTCTTTGGCGAAGAGGGTCGTTCTCCCTTCTATAGGAAATTGACGGCGACGGCGGCTGTAGCGGAGGAAGAAATCAAAGCTCTAGAGAGGAGATGAAGTGAACAGTGGGGATAGCAAAAGAGAAAGATAATAATAACAAATTAAATTATTTTTGTCTAAAAAATAAAAAAATTAATTTGACGTGGCATCCAATTGGCATGACAAGCCTTGTTGGGCATGTGCTGGAGTTGATGTGGGAGCTGAGGTGACATCCACATCAGCGTCCTACTAATGGTGTTAAAGTTTTTAACAGAAATGACTAATTTTTTCAAACAAGTTTCCAAAATGTGACTACAACTATGTATTTTCCAAAAAGTGGCTATTATTGTCAAAAACGCGAAAGTTATAGCTATATAGGTGAATTAAGCCTAAAAATAATACAAGGATGGATTTAGTAAAATCCGTCTCAACCTACCTCATTGCCATTCATACTCTAAAATGTTATTTTCATATTTTCGTATATTTAATCTAAGCAAATTACTTTTAGGGGTAGATTTTTTTAATTATCCACTGAAGGCATTTGATATTGCTATGCTTCCAATTTTTTTCCAATTAAAAGCGTCTAGGCAATCCTTCGTGGGCTTCTTCCCGTTAGCATTCCACTTTCAATTAAACAGTCCGCAACTGAACTATCCTTCGTAGGCCCCTTGTTTTACCAGACACGGCCCGCAATCAGGCCCATTTGACACGATTGGGCCTTGACCCCTTCTGACAAAACGACCGATCCCGACAAGAGAGTGGCTGTTTCCTTTTTCTTTCTCCCTCTTATCGAAAATTTCGATAACTTTGATGGAGAATTCCCGTGTTAAGTTAATCTGCACACACAACCACGTGTACCCGGCTCTCCCTCATCCGCGTTTCTCATCTCAACCGTCCAAACATTACATCCAACGGCTCCTGACAACGCTGACAGACTATCAAGCTAGGGTTTCAGGCTCCCACTATCCCGATCCAACGGCTGCTGATCAATCATCAGCAAGCTGTCGCAACTAGGGTTTCTGCCTCCCAGAATATATAATCTCCACAGTTACGCCATTGCCGGCGCGGTGCAGTTCGTGCTTCTGCCCTCCCACCCTTAAAAAACACCAAAAAATTTCTCCTTTTCCTCTCCGTCGTCTAGCCGTCCGGTAGTTCCCCGTCTCCGGTCGCCGACGATTCTATCCCTCCTATATCCTATCCCCCGTCCCCTCTCCTCTTTTATTTATCCCTCAGATTATACCCTAGAATTTTGCCCTCTATTACCTATCCGGTTTTCGTTTTTAGGATCGCATTCGGGAGAAAGAGTGGCGCCGTGATAGCCACAGTGTTTCCGATTCTTATATAATCGCAACGAGGAGAGTGGGGAACGGAGAAAAAAATATAAAAAAAATTTGGTTCTAGGAAAGGAAGAAGAAGAAGAAGAAGAAGAAGAAGAAGAAAGGAGTGGGATTTGCAGAAGGGTTTGTAAGTTCTGAGATGGCGCAGATTCAGGTGCAGCGACAGCAGGCGGCGGCGACGGGAGCGGCTGCTCCTCCGTCTCCTCAGTCGATGCCTACTCAGAACGGAGTGGCTGGTGGTGCGGTGGCGACTGGGCCGATCCCTTTCGGTTCCACCTCGCTGTACGTGGGGGATCTTGATCCCAACGTTTCTGAGGCGCAGCTCGCCGATCTGTTTGGTCAAGTCGGCCAGCTGGTGTCCATTCGTGTCTGCAGGGACCAGAATACCCGGCGGTCTCTTGGCTATGCTTATATTAACTTTACCAATGGCCAGGAAGGTCAGCAATTTCTTAATCGCTTAACAGTTTTTTGGTTTAGGGTTTGCTAAATGGAATGCTCTGTGGTTTTGGGTGTGCATGTTTGATACTGTATTGTTTAATGCTTCTGTTCTGTGTTGCGACTGAGCGTTTTGAGTTTGCTGAAAGTGATTACTGAATTGATGAACACCATATGGCACATTGCAAAACAGGGTCCTTGTTTTTTCTTGTGTTGGGATGATAATTAGGCTATATGCGAAATGTTTGTCCTGGAACATTGAAAGGTTACTGCCTGCATAAACGTGCATGCTCTGGATAAGTTAGTTAGAAATTTGATTAGACCCTAGCCTCAGTCAGAACGGGTGAATTCATTGTACATTAGATTATGTTAAATTCATAATTCAGTTGCATTTTACGCGTTAATTTGGTAAAAGTGCCCTCTTGCTTGAAGGATCTCTTGTTGGGTTTTTTTGTAGTTCATACGAGACCTTATTAGTTTGACTATTAGTTTTTCCATGATGATTTGCTCTTGTGTGGCCTCTCTTGCATTCTTATGTTAATTGATATTCTCTAAGTTGATTACTTACGTTTTCTGCTTCTTTGCTTCCGCAACAGCTGCAAGGGCATTGGACTTGCTGAACTTCACTCCACTCAACAACAAGTCTATCAGGATCATGTATTCACACAGGGATCCGAGTCTTCGTAAGAGTGGTGCTGGAAATATCTACATCAAGGTACTGCCTCTTGTTATCGGCCTACAATGTTGTTATTCCTAGCTTGTTATTTTGGTACTGCTTTGTTTTCTGGTACCTTGGACTTGTCCGTTCAATCCTAAGCCTTGATTCAGTCTTATTTTCTTATTATTGTGATACTCTTGGGCCATTGAGCTAGTGGTCGTTTTTGCTTTCTTTTTTATATATAAAGATTTAACTTAGTATCCATATTTGTTTCCCAATCACTAATGTGTCAGTGATATTGTGCTTGGCTGTTTCATATTCTCAATGTATGTACAACTTCTTATCTCTACTTTTGTTGATATCGTTTTGTCTGCTGCAGAACCTTGACAAGGCCATTGATCACAAAGCTTTACATGAAACTTTCTCTGCCTTTGGCAACATTCTGTCATGCAAAGTGGCTACTGATGCTTCTGGACAGTCCAAGGGTTATGGTTTTGTTCAGTACGACACTGAGGAAGCTGCTAAGAATGCTATTGACAAGTTGGATGGTATGCTGATGAATGATAAGCAAGTTTATGTCGGACCCTTTGTCCGTAAGCAGGAGAGAGATAGTTCTATGAGTAATACAAGATTCAATAATGTATTTGTGAAAAATCTTTCCGAATCAACTGCGGATGAGGACTTGAAGAAGGTCTTTGGAGAGTATGGTGCAATTACTAGTGCTGTGGTGATGCGGGATGGAGATGGGAAGTCTAGGTGTTTTGGGTTTGTTAATTTTGAAAATGCAGATGATGCAGCTAAAGCTGTTGAGGCTCTTAACGGGAAAAAATTTGATGACAAAGAATGGTTTGTTGGAAAGGCTCAGAAGAAATCTGAAAGAGAGCAAGAACTGAAAGGCCGATTTGAGCAAACTATGAAGGAAGCTGTTGATAAGTACCAAGGACTCAATCTCTACATCAAGAATTTGGATGACAGCATATCTGATGAAAAGCTCAAGGAGTTGTTTTCTGAATTTGGTACCGTCACATCATGCAAGGTAGCACTTTTTTCGCTGCTGTATTGCTATTATTCTTCTCTTCTCACAATAATCTGCTCATAGTCATTGTTTCATTTTTGGCTAATTCAAAGGTTGTGCGTGATCCAAGTGGAATTAGCAAAGGTTCAGGATTTGTTGCATTTGCTACACCTGAAGAGGCCTCACGAGCTGTAAGTTAAAAGGTTTTATTGATCCCAGTATGCATATGATTATACTACTTTTCAGTTTGTAACCCTGATTGAGTGCCACTGTGTTTTTCTTCCCAGATTAATGAGATGAATGGAAAGATTATTGTTAGCAAACCTCTGTATGTTGCGCATGCTCAACGCAAGGAGGATCGTCGTGCAAGGCTTCAGGTTCATTATTTATCATGTTGATGGATGGTGTACTTGATTGAAAATATCATATACATTTCCCAACCATAAAAAGTTAAAACTCTTGCAGAGACATTTCGGTCATATATGATTTATGTTGCTGGATCTTCCACTTGTTCATATTTTGTGGTGTATGGGAGCTCAATCTGCTCAACTGTCTTTTTGTCCCAAATGAGGCCATTGTGGTTGACTATTGGCGTTTTACAGGCTCAGTTTTCCCAAATGAGGCCAGTTCCAATGCCTCCTGCAGTTGGCCCTCGTATGCCTATGTTTCCTCCGGGTGCCCCTGGGCTTGGGCAGCAGTTCATGTATGGGCAAGGTCCTCCAGCCATGATTCCCACTCAGGTATTTCACCTGATTTCCAATGTCATCGTTAGCAAGTGCATTATAAACTTGAATTTCTTTCCGACTACTTTGGTGAATATTGTAGGGTGGGTTTGGCTACCAGCAGCAACTTGTGCCAGGGATGAGGCCTGGCGGTGGTCCGATGCCGAACTACTTTGTTGTCCAAGGTCAGCAAGGCCAACGCCCTGGTGGCCGCCGTGGAGGTCCAGTGCAGCAATCACAACAGCCGGTTCCCATGATGCCCCAGCAGGTCGGTTTTTACAAATGAATCACTTACATCATGTTGATTGAATACAAGTTTCTCATTGTAAAATAAAATACTAAACAGTACGTTTTGTTCGAAATTGCAGATGATGCCTAGGGGTGGACGTGGCTACCGTTACCCTCCTGGTCGCAACATGTCGGAAGTTCCCATGCAAGGCGGAGGCATGATCTCTGTTCCCTATGACATGGGCGGCATGGGGATGCGTGAGGCCGCAGCTGGGGGGCAACCTATGCCCATCACTGCTCTTGCATCAGCCCTTGCCAATTCAACTCCTGAACAACAGCGAACTGTACGTAGTTTTTTACTTCTAGTTGCTGCCTTTTTTCTCTGCAACATCTTCATTGCCAATTTGGTGCCTAGACTGAAACCTATTGCAACTATGCAGTTGCTGGGTGAAAGCCTGTATCCACTAGTGGAGCAGCTGGAGCATGACTCTGCGGCCAAGGTCACCGGGATGCTTCTGGAGATGGATCAGACCGAGGTCCTGCACTTGCTCGAGTCGCCGGAGGCCCTGAAGGCTAAAGTAGCAGAAGCAATGGACGTGCTGAGGAACGTGTCTGCTGCTGCTCATCCTCAGGCAAACAACGCGGCTGATCAGCTCTCTTCGCTGAACCTGAATGATGGGATTGTGCCCTAGAGTAGTCGCACCTTCGTGAATGGATGAATAAAGAGTGCAAGGAGTGTTGCACCACCGTTGAGACACTTTTTATTTGGCGTTTTCGTTTGTTGGCAAAGAGGGTTCGTTCTCTTTTCGACATTTCGGAACTCTGTTGGGTCTTTCCTGTGCGGGTGCTTTGAGTTGGTTTCCAAACTCGTTTTGTTCAGTCATGTTTTAGGATGCAATACTTTTTTCTATTTTCATGTTGGTGTTCTTTTGAATTTGGTTGGTCTGCGGAATTTTGGGTTTGAACTTCCCGTAAACTACCATTGGTTTGTTATCTCTTGCGATTTATTTCCGGTTTAGCTTGTCTCGTTGATCAAGCGGTGTCCCACTGCTTTCGTTGCTTCTCCAACCGAGAGGTAGCGAAACTCAGAAAACTTTGCGTACACAATGATCTTCAGATCATACCTATTGCATCCTTTCCTACCTTTGCTTACTGCCTAGCAATGCTTATTTCTCTGCTCCCGTTCATACAATCTAGAGGTGAGCACGGGTTGGTTAGGTGGTTGACTCATGGCTCATTCATTCTTTTATCTTCAAACCAGCCAAACTTTTAAGTGTGTCTATTTAACCAAAAGATGAACTCCAAGTTTCGATAAAAAGATCCCACAATATCTTTACTGCTATCGTTGTTTCAATAACTGAAAATTATATATACATTGCCTTATGTAATTCCTCTCCATCTCAATTCGAGCTCCAAAAAACCTAATTTTATGCTTTTGCCGAAGGGAAACCAGTTGCCCATGCTTTGAATATGTTTACTAGTTTGAGTATATTTTGGTGATTTATAAACAATTACAAGTAGTTGTTTTGTGAATTGAATGGCACATCTCATTTATAGATTAAAGGTTGTTTAGCTTTAAATTTTCTTTCATTTTAAGCTGATAACAATTTGAAATTGGAATGTATGTTGTTAAACCCACCAACCCAACCCACTCATATGTACATATTTGAGTTTGTGTGAGTCATTTTCTTCTTCACCCCCCCCCCCCCCCCTCCCCACCCCACACTGGTGGATTCAAACTTACCCAAACTCGTTTAAAACGATCTACTGCTCACCCTTAATACAACCCACCACCAATGTTCATCTCTTTCCTCTCATTTTAGAATTATTAATGAAATCTATATATGATCGAACAAACTTATGAATTATCAAATAAGTCAACTCATAAATTATATATCAATCATAAGTCGATAGACGAGTTGGCTCGTTAATCACACTATCGAGCCAATTCACAAATTGAGCTCGTGATGCCACCAAATAAAGCTGGCACGCGAGACTCACCAACAAAATGAAGATGAACTCAAACTCGACTTACTGATTTCAAACAAAATTTTGTCGAGTCAAACCTAACATCTCAACTCATTTACAACAACTATATAGAGAACAAGTCAATTTTGATTAGGCAAAGTCTTGGCTACCAACCGCGGTGTTGGTGAGGGACAATCCCTGACAATAATCCGAGAGTAAAAAGGTGTTGGCCATAGCGACTTGTTTCCCAAATAAATACTTCATATATATATATATATATATATATATATATATATATATATATATATATATGGGGAAGGCTACGGTACCCATGGTGAAATCCGGGGTACCGCATACCAAGAGTAAAAAAATGCTATCCAGAACTTGAATTGATTTATCTTTCGGACATGATACTATACTCTAACCCTTAAAGATCAAAATCTAGGTCTTAATTCTCTAAATCGTATACCCCAAGATCAATTTAATTAGAAACAATAATCGACGGTTATGATTCGTCCAAATATAGGCCAAAAAATCAATGCACCATCTTAGGGTTTATAGTTTATGATTTAGATAATTAGGACCTAGGGTTCACTCATTAAGGGTTAGGGTATATTATAATGCCCAAAGTTCCTGCTAATTCGAGGTCTAGATAGCGTTTTTGTACTTAAGGTATGTGGTACCCCGGATTTCACCCGGGGTACCGTAGAAGGCACTATATATATATATATATATATATAAGAACTTGGAACCAATCGCTCGATCCTCACCTTCACCGCAATTTCCTGCTCTGTTCCATCGAAAAGGGGTTCCAAGTTCCAACCTCCTCAAAAGACTTTGCTGTAGTTTAGAGGTGGTCACCTCAATGTGTTAATATTGAACTTAAGGACTTGATTAAGAAAATTAAGAACCTAACTAAATGAATGAGTGATTGACCAAGAATATAAAATTAGAAAATTCCCACCACCAAGAAGCCAACTCGTGATCAACAAGGAAAGGAGTTGGTGAAAGCAGGGTTGTTAACCAACGGTCGAACCGCGGGTTGACTTGGACTCGGTGGGGAAAAAAAGTTTCATACACTTGTTTGGAACTTCGTCTTGCATTCGTCCACACATTCCACTCCATCAAAACTCGGAAAAATCAATCAACAAACTTTCATTCGAGAATACCACTTTGCATTACTTTCACAGGCTGCTCAAGTTCATTCAATCTGTTAATCACAAACTTATATAATAAATTTAAGGGGTAATACCACTGGAAATACCATTCTTTAACGAAAGTGCTATTTATATTACATGCTTTCAATAAACACAAAAATATTCCAACCTATTAGGGGTCTGCGTCATTTGTGTTACGCAATTTTCTGTTGACCGTTAGACTTGACGGTTGACCTGACGGTGGCCAACATTTTGTCCATGTAAGCGACAAGTGGATGCCACGTTGAAAAAAAAGAATAAAAAATTTGAAAATATTATTTATTATTTATTTATTATTATATTACAAAATTATTTATTCATTTATCCATCTCCACGCCGCCCCTTCTCCTTCCCCTTCATTCCCACTTCCAGAATCATTCCCAGCTTCCTCCCACTCCAACTTCTCCAAATCCAACCTAAGTATCAGCATCGTTGAGCAAGACGGGTTCAACGAGAAGATCGACTTCAACCCAACAATCATCAGCAGCTTGTTCCCATCCCCACGCACCAAACGAGGCCGCTTGATGAGATCGAATATATCCGCCCATTCATGCTTCTCCAAGCAAACCCAGTTGTTATGATTCGAGGAACACGAAGAGAACACCCCACTCCCACAACCAACACCCAATTGCTCATGAACTGGAACCGAATTATTCAAATTCAAAGTACAGGTGAACAATTTCCACTGAGATCGCCATGGTGAGCCAACATCGCACAGGGCAAAAACCGAGTCGGAGATCACAATAGGGCTCCTAGGTTTCGCAGGGAGATTGGAAGCGAAAGTTACCCATGAATCGGAGCAGGTACAGGGCGGCGGCGGAAGCGACGGGGTGGAGGGAGCGGAAGGGGAGGAAGGAGAGGTCGAATCGGAGCCAATGGCGGTCGGTGGGGTCGAAGGCGGGGAAAGAAGGTTGAGGTGGGGGAGGAAGGAGGTGGTGGTGGTGGTGGTGGCGGTTGTGGAGGTGGGGAGGAGGGCGGAGGGCGATGAGAGAGAGGGGAGGTTGGGAGGAGAGGATGAGGGAGATGAAGGAAGGAGAAGTCATTTGTTTGACGGAAGGATCTGCGGTCAGTGGGAGGTGAGAATTGTTTTTACTTTTTAATTTTTTTTACATTTCATTAAATAAGCCACGTCAGCGAGCCATGTAGGATCCTATTAAGCGCTGACTGGGCGTTGAAAAGTCGCCCAGTTATGTTTAACAGCCCAACTAACGGAGAAAACATTTTAGTATACAAATGGCATATCGAAAACGATGTAATATTAATGACACTTTCGTTAAAGGATGGTATTTCCGGTGGTATTAGCCCTAAATTTAAGGGTAAATACAATTTAATATCCAAACCTTTCATTTTAAACAATATAATAGCCAAACCTTCTCGAAAACAATCTAATATCCAAATCATCAACTTTCCGTCCGTTTGACCGTTGGTTGACACTTCAAAAAAGCTTTGTTTAGGAGAAATTGTCACAATACAACTTTGTTTTCTTATTTTGGCATTGCAGATGACTGAATATTTAGATATTCTATGCCATCATGGTGGAGTCATGGACTTCTCGGGTTTGGAACCAAGATATGTTGGTGGTTTTTCAGAGAAGATATTGATGGATATTGATGAAGCGTCGTACTTCGAACTTTTCTGAAGTGTCAACTAACGGTCAAACGAACGGAAAGTTGACGATTTGAATATTATATTGTTTTCGAAAAGATTTGGCTATTATATTGTTTAAAATAAAAGGTTTGGATATTAAATTGTATTTACCCTAAATTTAAGTGTATTTGAATTTTTACTATATATTGGATCATGTACTTATATGACTGAGTGACATGTATTTTCATGGTGCTCTTTTTTCAATTATGAAGCATGGTTAAATGTATTTTCAGGCTAGCTAAACTAAACTAAAATAATCAGACCACTGATCTTTTACCCACTTACTCGATCGGAATAACGGTTAAACCGAGTTGACAACCTTGATGAAAGTCCGCTAGCTCCCACTATTTTAGCTCTCCAGTCTCCACTCCCACCAATTCCCCAAACTCCTCCAAATTCAAATTCAACCAATCATCCCCGCTGCCGCGCCATGAACTCGCCCACCGTCAAGCACATCTCCGACTGCTTCGTCCGCCCTCACATCACCACCGACGAAATGAAGGGCCCAATCCACTTACCTCCCTGGGACCTCCTCATGCTCTCCGTCCACTACATCCAAAAGGGCCACCTCTACCCCAAACCCTCCGCCGGCTTCCACATCGCCGAATTCCTCCGCCGGATCAACCACTCCCTCTCCTTAACCCTCTCCCACTTCTACCCACTCGCCGGCCGCCTCGTCACCTCCAATTCCCCCCACGACGACGGCTCCTACGTCGTCTCCATCGACTGCGCGAACAGCCCCGGCGCCCGATTGATCCACGCCGCCGCAGATCTGACAATCTCGGACGTCCTGTCACCGACCTACGTCCCCGTCGTCGTCCAATCGTTCTTCGACCACGACCGCGCCATCAATCACGACGGCCACACCACGTCCCTCGTCACCATCCAAGTCACCGAGCTAATCGACGGAGTTTTCGTCGGGTGCTCCTTCAATCACGCCGTCGGCGACGGGGCCTCCTTCTGGAATTTCCTCACAGCGTTGTCCGAAACGTATCGAGGAAAAACCCCAATTTCCCGACCCCCGGTGAACAACCGGTGGTTCCCCGAAGGCTGCAACCAAATAATCCCTCTCCCCGCGGATCAAATCCCTAGCCGCTACGAATCCCCCAAACTCCTCGAGCGATTCTTCCACTTCTCGGCGGAATCGATTGGTAAAATCAAATCGAAAGCCAATTACCAATCTGGGACAACCAAGATCTCGTCATTCCAATCCCTATCCGCTTTGGTCTGGCGGGGGATAACTAGGGCACGGAATTTCCCCGCCGAGAAGATCACCGGCTGCCGGCTAGCGACCAACAACAGGGGAAGGATGAACCCTCCCCTGCATCCCGACTACTTCGGGAACTCGATTAACCCGATGAGGACCTCCGCCGCGGTGGGGGAGCTGCTGAGGAACGATTTGGGGTGGGCGGCGTGGCGGCTGCACGAGGCGGTGGTAGGGCACAGCGACGAGAAGATCAAGGGGTTTGTGTCGGCGTGGTTGGAGTCGCCGGTGGTTTACCGGATGGAGCAGGTGTTCGACACGGACAGTGTGATGATGGGGAGCTCGCCGAGGTTTGATAAGTATGGGATCGAGTTCGGGCTGGGGAAGGCGGTGGCGCTGCGGAGCGGGTACGCGAACAAGTTTAGTGGGAAGGTGACCGGGTATCCGGGGCGGGACGGCGGCGGGAGTGTGGATTTGGAGATTTGCCTCCCGCCGGCGACGATGGCGGCTCTGGAATCTGATGAGGAGTTCATGAGCTGCGTATCTTGATAGTTCATATACGCTTTTCCAATTGAGTTTTTTTTTTTGCCTATAATAAGTTAACCAAAAAAATAAAAGTATTAGTAAGTACTTATGAATTTCCTTGTCTAATGTTGTGGATTTCCTGATTATAAATCTTTTACTAAAGAAATTAACAGAGAGCTATACTATAGCACCTAATTTTTTGCGATACCCAAGTTCAATTGTGATTGTGATTTACTATTTAACAAACGTCGATAAGATTTTTACACTAGCAGCACCTTAGACCAGCCATAGCAAGCATTGGGGAAAAAAAAAGAAAAAGGGTAAATACAATATATTAGCCACAATTATTATGAAGCGGGGAATTATAGTCACAACTATTGAAATTCAAATTATTAGTCAAACGTTAACTATCTGTTAACAATTTCGTTTGTAATACTGACTAAACTTTTATGTTTTGAAGTTATAAACTAAAAGCATTCCTACGTGGCCGCTGTCGTGGCCGATGACGTGGCCTTCTCCGTCAAAAATTCAATAACAGTAACAGACAGTTAGCCATATCTTGACCTGCAACAATAGTTATGGCTAATATCTTGACTTGCAACAATAGTTATGGCTAATAATTTGATTTTTCATAGTTGTGGCTATAATTCCCCGCTTCATAATAGATGTGGCTAATATTTTGTATTAACCCTAGGAGGGGAAAGCCTCAATAAGAGAGGATAAAAAGGCTAAAAAGGAAAAGAAAGCTATTGGAGAAGGGTTTATGTAACATCCCAACCAGATGGGGTGCTACTTTTACTAAAATACCCTTATGAATCAATGGACATTAAATACATTGAAAGATAGCGGAAGCGCCATACTAAAGAAAATAGTAGACATAAAAATCAAAATGGTTTGAAACATCTTTGACGTAATAAATATCATCGTAAAATTACATCAAGTCTCTCGTCCTACTAAAGAGATGAATTTAACTTCTTGCTTCTGGAGTCCTCTGGAGCAATTGATGAACCGTCAAATCCATATGCGTGCTTATTTGCTTCTATAATTCCTGAATGCGGCGTTGGGGTCAGTCTTAATCCTAGTTTCGCCTTAATGGTGAAAACTCATAATAACATATGCTTGAAATAAATAAACAAAGATGCTAGTGCAATGCTTGGTACATGATCATATGCTTAAAATCAATTGAATCTTAATTCTTGTGAAAGGGGGCCCCGAACTCAACCTAACTAGCGCAATCATCGGGCCACCAAAATGTGATAAACGTGAAAGACTTGATAAGGGTAATCGCGTGCTATCTGCAGCAACTGACCGGTACTAGCATAACTTGCAAACATGACCTCCTTATATGAAGGAGTAGGGTAACATAACTTGGTAACTTCTCCATAATGGGAAGGTAGGTGGTCGCGTGCGTAGCTAGTTAACTGAGTGCTTAAAAACGTATTCTTACTTGATATAATTTGGTAACTTGAAACGTAAGTCCACGAACTTACTTAAAACATAACTTGAATATGCTTGCTTTAAAACATAACTTCATGATAGAATGCAATGCTATGCTTATTGAACATAACCAAACTTACCATGAACATACACATAGAACATATGAGCGTAACTTAAGTGAATGACTTGATGAAATGTCATGATTACAGCGAAATACTAACTAATGCCCCCTCAAACAACGCACCTTGTTTGGTCGAGCAGTTTAACTTGGTCTAATCACCAACTCAAGGGATCGATGCTCTAGAGGAGATGATTCGCCTTTTCAACCTATGGCAAATACTGAGGTTTGATTGGTTGGGCAGAGATAATGCATTGCAGAGAGATAGGATTGGGTGTGATGTGGTGAATTAAAGCTATTGTCTCCAACAAGTCCTTTAATGGACTGGCATGGTGGGTTGCAATCAGGGAGAGTTGAGTGTCTATTGTAATTTAAATTTTTGTACATGGTGATTTGTAGAAAGTTAACTCTAACTTTCACTCCAAGAAATCTCAACCCTCTAGCAGTTGTTTACGGTCACAACGTCATAAGGCCCTCGTTCAGCTCGTCATGATTGACCTTTGCGTTGAAAGTCAAAGTAGTCCTTCATACCAAGTTATCAAGTAAGAAAACATTTTTAACCACTCACTTAACTAGCTACGCACGTGGCCACCTACCTTCCCATTATTGTGATATTTCCAACGGCTATTTTTATGTCTATAACCGCCATATTTCCAACGGCTATTTTTTTACGGTGATATTTCCAACGGCTATATTTTTTTCAGCTCTATAAATAGAATTCATTCTTCACTTTCTTTCAAGCGGTATTCGGCATTGAGGGAAGCAAATGCTAATCCACCAAGCGGAACTAACCAAGTAGATGTGGTTAGCCAACTTCTAAAACATATATATTTAATTAATGGTATAATTTTTGTGTTCTAATTTTTAATCATGTGTATTGTTTCTAATTAATTGTGTAGACCCGTCAAGCGAAAGCTATTTTCAAGACGGACACGAAGAAAGACTAGAAGTTGGAAGAATGTTGGCAACTACTCCAAGAGTGTCCAAGATTTATGCAACAATTTTATGCTCCCGTTGCACCCATTCCACCAATGGATGGATCTCAATCGGCTATGCCAAGTGATGAACCTGATAGCCCCGGCCTTCATGCAGCTGCTGCTCCAAGAGTGATCAACCGTCCCGAAGGTCGAGATAACAAAAGAGGAAGAAAAGAGGAGGTGGTGATTCTTCTGCCATGGAAGCTTTTCAAAAGAGTTTGGCGGACATGGTGGCAAGTTCGGCAACACATGCAAAATTGGCTGTCGGTAGGGAGGAAAGGGAGAAGGCGAAGGAAGTAAGGGAACAAAGTAGGTACGAGCGAGAAATCATGCTTCAGGATCTTTCGCAATTGGATCCTCAACTAAGAGCATGGTACCAATTTCAAAGAGATCAAATTATGTTTGCATACCAATCATCACCAGCTACTACACCACCTGAAGGATCTTCTAGTAGCCCATTTGATGACACTTACACCCCGGACCAGTAGTCTTTAAAAGGTTGTTTGGTTTATTGTTGATGTATGTTTTATTTTTAGTGTGTTTGATTTATGTACTTTCAATTTACCCCCGATGTATCTTTTATTTTCAATGTATCCTTTTTATGTTTTTGTTCCATATTTAATGCAACAAATTTTTTTATTAAGACACTAGAAAATGGAGAATACATTGATAACAAAATCGAATAATCCATTGATAACAAAATGGAAAATACATTGATAACAAAGCACAACAAAAAGAAATAAAGTAAATTCAGCCCACAATACAAATTTAAGTAATTAAAGTGCACAATTTAAATTTAGAGCTCTGCCATATTTCTACTCCCCTCCTCCTGCTCTTGTCCACAAATGCTCAACCAAATCCGCTTTCACTGCATGATGCCCTTCACGGTTACAAATCCTATTATGCCTTATCATGTACTCCATGAGAGTCGGATGATCCGGTGGATCCAATGTGACATCTGGATTAGTCTCATATTCAAAGGCCTCCACATGTTCTTCTCCAAACTCATTTCGTTGGTCTTCAACTATCATATTGTGTAGAATAACGCAAGTTAGCATAATCTCTCCCAATGTTTGTACATCCCAATATCGACCCGTAGCTCTTACAATGACCCATCTTTCTTGTAGAATGCCGAAAGCTCTCTCAACATCCTTGCGGTATGACTCTTGCCATTTTGCAAATAGTTTCTTCTTCTGGTTACTAGGGTTGCTAATGGTTTTCACAAATGTTGACCATTCAGGATAAATTCCGTCAGCCAAGTAGTAACTTTGATCGTAAATTTTACCATTTATTGTATAGCTGACTTTTGGAAGATTTCCTCTGACGGCTTCATCGAAAAGTGGGGAGATTCCAAGCGTCCTTATGTCATTGTTTGATCCGGGACTTCCGAAGAAGGCATGCCAAATCCATGTGTCATATGATGCTACAGCTTCCAGGACAATTGTTGGCTTCCCCTTGTATCCAGTAAATTGTCCTTGCCACGCCATTGGACAATTTTTCAACTCCCAATGCATGCAGTCGATTGAACCAATCATACCTGGAAAGCCACATCGATTGCTGTGATGAAGAAGGCGGCGAAGATACTCCATATTTGGTGCTCGTAAGTACTCAGGACCATAGATGCAGATAATGGCATTACAAAATTTACGCATACACTGCAGTACAGTGGTCTCACCCATATCAAATGTCTTGTCTAGAGAGTCGGCTGAGCATCCATTTGAAAGCATCCAGAGGGAAGTAGTAAGCTTTTGTTCGGGGGAGAATGATAGGCGACCCGCAGCATCTCGGCCTTGCTGGAAGTAGGGGTCGTGTTGAACAACGACACTCATGACTCGGTTGAACAAGGAGAGGGGCATCCGAAATCTCCTTCTAAAGAACCTAGCATCGTAGGTTGGATTGGGAACGAAATATTGTTGCGTCAAGCGTTGGTGTGCTTCTACCCTGTTACGCCTCACAACTTCACGTGAATGTGAACGATGTCGAGATGAGGATGCTTGCTCTTGGAACATGAAGGCTCCTTCCATCACCATCATTTGTTGACGATCACGGTCAAGCTGACACTCATACTCCCATTGCCTAGCATCATCATCCGATTGCTGCATCTCATCAGCTTCTCTATTAGGGGAACTCACGATGAAAAAAAAGTATGTGTGTGTTGAGAGAAATATGAAGTTGAGAGAATGAAGAAGGTTGAATGGTGGGATGAATGGATTGACAAAGTTTAGCCTTCATTTATAGAAACATGAAAAGATTCTTCAACAATAATATGACAACTTAAAGCTGAATGAACAGTTGATGGCACCACTCAATATGATTAAAGTTGGATGGTCAGTTGATTTTACCACTCAATATGATTAAAGTTGGTCAAAAAATTGATGGAACCACTCATTTTGTGAAACTTGTGATGAGTTATAGTATTCTGCAAATTATTGAGATCCGTCATTGATGACGTCATATTTAATTAGCGATAAAAAAATTATGTCAAAATTAAA